AAGGACTAAACCTAGTAGCCAGCAACTGATATGAAAGAGGATTCCCACTGACCAAGGCGATGTCCATGTGAGAAGCCAACTGCTCTCCTCTACAACTGCTAGAAAAGGGGAAGGTGTTGTGATTCCTAGCTGGGTGCTGTCCCTCAGTCCTATTTTGATGACTCCAACTTGTCTACTAGCGTTTGGATACATTTGAAGGCTGCCTCCACAACTCTGACTAGCTACCGAAAGAAAGATGGAACATTCTCTTTCTGCTGCTCTGTTCCCCATCTGGCCCCAGAGCATCCAGGTTGCAGCAAGTGGTGGGAACTGTCTTCACTACTCTACCCCGGGATCAGCTTGCTGGTTGTTGCTATGGGGATGACCTTGATACTCCATCCCTTTCTCAACCTCTGTTTCTGTGCCGGCCTCTGCTAATGCTCAATGCCATAGCAGAGTGAAATTGATCTGATTTTTCTTTTTTTAAAAAAATCAGCTTCACTGCTGCCAACAGACTGTACAGCAGTTTGAGAAAGCAGCTATGAGCAGCAGCAGAGGCAATGCAGCTGTCTGCAGTCTCAGACAGACAGCACTGCATCAGATATTCTTGGTTCACATTTGGATGGTTATCTTCATAACCCTAAAGGCTGGAGACTTTTTAAATGAAAGCATATATTATGTAGAAGTCTCCTCAAAAAGTTTCTTATTTCCTCCTGGTGAGTGGACTGTTCAAGCACTGCACTAACTGATTAGTCCATTAAGTTAATTATTGATTGACTAGTTCATTCAGTTAAACAGCATCCGGACCAACATTATTATGGCTGAATATGTTCTAGGCTCCAGATTCTCTAGGGTGTTTTATTGCCTGGCCTTTTTTATTTTCTCTTGCCAGGCCTAAGAATTATGCTGAAGACATAAAACCACCCGAAAAACCCAGCCCCTAATCCTCAGGAGACTAGTGACACCACTGAGCTAGCCTAATAGTCTTTATTCAGGTCCAAATCCCATTAATTTCAATGGGCATTTTGTCTGTGTAGGGATTTGGACCCAAAGAACAAAATCCCACCACTAACTCAGTTCATCTGATTAAAGCAGTTCTCACAAATCCTTGCCCTCAGTTAATGGAGGGACAGTAAATGATACACTTGGAAAAGCAATCTAGAAAAGTTCAGCAAAGCAAGTCTAGACATGAAACTCTAGAACAAGATATCAAGAAACCGACATATTACACACACTTACTAGTTGACTTGGCCATTCCTATCAAGAAACTGACATATTACACACACTTTAGTTGACTTGGCCATTCATATCAAGAAAATTGTATGTTGTGTGTATAGATGTGAAACATTCATATTGAGAGTTTATTGGCCAGGTTTTCAAATGCCCAAACTGTGCAAAGTTTTGAATGCACCCCATCTGCATGAATAAAGACTGCCCTTGTACGTGCAAACTGTGTAGTTCAGCATGTGACTACCCAGTTGGAACGTTCAAATGCCAGTTTGTACACACAAATGAGCATGCATAGAAAGTGTACACGTGCAGGTTTGGAGGCTGCAAAATCCATCCTTATACAGCTATAAATGTAGAAACAGATGGGCATACATACAAGTGATAGAGAGACATATCTGCACATGAAGAGAAATGAGAGAGTCAGCCTTTCTACATTCAGCTGTAAACAAGGAATTTAACATTCATTCCACAGACTAATTGTGCTTATGGTCATCCAAGACAGATCAAGTTAGATAATAGAGAGTAGAGTGCCAGAGAACCTGAAAGGAATGGACTATTTTGCTTGACTAGTTTCCATTTATAAATTAGTGCAGAGGAAAAAAAATAAGAAATTCTACAGACACATGTACTTTATTATAATTCCTAGTGTTATTCCTGCACAACTACCACAATAGCAGGCCAGAGAGCTAAAAACCACTAAAAAGAAGCAAAGAGCAAATGCAAATGTGATTAAATGCCTTTCTGACAAGAAGTGGCTTGACTTCAGGTTTGGATGAACACACATGTCAATGGCTGGTCTTAGACATTGTGGTTTGCTTGTGATGGGTTTTTATTTTTAAATGAATAGAAAGGGAAATCTTTGGAACAGGATGCCTGCTCATTTTTGTTTCCCTCAAAAGAGGTGTGTTACAACTTCCTCAGCATGCAAAAGTCTGTAGGACAATGAGCAAAATTCCCCAAATATCTCATCTTAGTCTGGAGAGAGGAAAATATATATTTGAAGTAAGTATCAAGTCTGCTTTAACTCTTCCAGACTCAGCCTCTGAGCACTATGTTCCAGGGCAATTAACAAGTTAAAAACCTGACCCTGCGGTCCTTCCTCAGGGAAAACACCCCATTGAAGTCAAAAGGAGTTTGCCCTGACTTAATCCTAAGGAGCCCTAAAGGACTGCACACATCAACACCAATTGTTACATCTTGGGGGGACAGATGGCTCAGTGGTTTGAGCATTGGCCTGCTAAACCCAGGGTTGTGAGTTCAATCCTTGGGGGGCCATTTAGGGATTTGGGGCAAAAATGGGGGATTGGTCCTGCTTTGAGCAAGGGGTTGGACTAGATGAGCTCCTGAGGTCCCTTCTATGATCTTTTTAGAGGGTGCAAACTGGTCTAATGGTCTGCCCTGTACTGGCTCTGCTCTGCTCATTGGTGTGAGGAGGCTGGGAGACTAGCACAGCAGCTGGCTCTAGAGTCCTCCAGTCTTTTAGCACCAGCAATGCAAGGGGTGGGGTTGTATCTGGACTGTGCCAACATTCCATGCTGGTGCACCCAGGTAGACCAAGCCACTCGTTAGCCTTGAGCATGCTTTTCTTTCAGGAGGGTTTACTGCACACACATCTCACACAGCAACACGTGTGCTAAGTGACTTAAGAGACAGATCCTGTGAAGGCCGTCTACTGGGCGTAAACTGCTTACTCCCAGGAGCAGTCTCATTATAGTAAATGGGGCTACTTGCTGTAGTAAGGACCTCTCAGAGTGCTAACTTTTTGCAAGACTGAACTTACTTTTTAAGTACAGGTCCAAACTCTACTGCTGAGGTCAAGGGGAGTCTTTCCATTAATTTCAATGGGCTTTGCATCAGTCCTTTTATGAATATACTGTCTGGTATACTCTGGCAGTGACACATATATAAATATATCCCAACACTTCACCATATTAACATCCAAGTCAAAATCCTGTAGTCCTTACTCAGTCAAAACTTTCACTGGAACCAAATAAGGGATTTGCCTAAGTGAGTACTGAGAAAAAAAAAATGCCTGGACTCTGAAAAAGAAAGTTTTGCTTGTTTCATGTCACTATTCTTAAGGCACAAAAAGAGTTTTATTTTAAAAATCTCTGAAGGGGGAGGGGCAAAAAAATCACACAAACTGGTATAGTATTAAATATAATGCATAATGGTTGGCAGCAGAATGCACTATTTATTTTCATGAATTAGGGACTGAGTGTACAATTCACAAGCAGTGGAGTGAAGTAAGTACAAGTGGGTGAGGCTAGGGTTATTAACCTGGAGTCAAATCCTCCAGCCCTTACTCAGTCCTAACTTAGGAAAAACTCCTCCTGATTTTCCCTGAGTTAGGACTGCAGGATCTGGCTCATAATGCATAACAGTTGCTAGGCTAATAAACTTTTCATTTGTTAGGGAGAGCATGTTCAACCCTCTCATGCCTCTCTACAGTAATTTGTGTGGCTTACATTTCATTTTATATTTGAAAGAGCCTTTTTAACCATTTTTTTGTGTGTGGAATATATTCACATTTACAATTATGTTGGAAATCATATTTAATGATCTGCGACTAGCTGTTATTGAGACCTGACAAAGATCCATAACATGCATTCTGAATAGGGATATATTGATTTTAATACTCTCGTGGCTCTCAACATAAACATTAGCATACAATAATTAGCACATTTTGTTTCATTCACATGTATATGAAGACATAAACTCAGTTTGATCTTAATGGAAATAGATAATGAATTTGGAATAAAATAATGATTCTTCAGTTATTAAGTATATAAAATATGCACTTTGCATTAGAGTCAAAGTTGTAAATTAATGTTTTGTAAAAAAACAAGAGTTTTTGCTTTCGATCACTATTTACAAATTTAATCTAATCTTCAGATGAGGTTTACCTAATGTGCATGCCGAGGACACACTCCTGTTAAAAACGTGTGCATTACTATTAATGTTTTCACTGCAGACTTTCTGGAGAGTAAATGCGCAGCTCATACCCATAAAATTAAGTATGAGTCACAATGGAACATTTACTTTCAATCAAACAACGCAGCAATGGTGTTCAGCTGCAGAGCATCTTATCAGTCTCCTTGGGAGACACAATAAAATAAACAAACATCCACCAAACAATAACCACCAATTTTGCTTCTCTAATGTACACCTGAGATCACAGAACAATATTTTGCTTCCAAAACTTAAGAGTTAACTTGTCTCTCTAATAACTTACAGTAATTATCAGAGATAATCCGAGCTGGCTGCAGAAGTCCCAGTACATGCTGTACCTGGTTTCTCTGCATTTGCAGAGGAAAAAATAGTTTTTAAAAAGAGAAGAAAAACCCAACCCCCGAGTACATAAAATTCCAGGAACACTACAACATTTTACGGTTTGATTTCAACAGGGAAAAAAGGCTGTTGTCCAAATTCCAAGCACTCAATCCATCATTCACAGTCCATCTCTCCCCACGTTTATAGAATCTATGCCAACTTTAACCTTTTGGTTCTACCTGGAGCAACCTATCCTACAAGACCCCTCATAGTGTCCCGGAGCCTGGACATCTACAGTTTTATAGCCCCGCAGCCCAAGCCCTATGAGTACAAGTCAGCTGACACGGTCCAGCCCCGGGTGTTTAATTGCAGTGTAGACATACCCCTAGAACCCCTAGTTGGGTTAGAGGGGTTGATACCTGCAGAATCATTTCTTTTTACCTGGGTCTTAAAGATTTAGAAAAATGGATCTCTCGACTGCAATGGTTAAGTATTTATATAAAAGAAATGAAATTTACCAGGAGCAGAGACGCCAGAAGCAAGGTGCCAGCAGTTGCCCAACGGCAGCATTCCATGCTTGGATCCTTGCCGCAATCTGAATCGGACACTGAATAAGCTGCTAAGTGCTCCTCTGCCTGCTGTCACATCCAGTACTGGTGCTAACACTTCAGCCCTGCCTATCAGCTTCCATCAGCTCTGCTCACATTTCCTGACTAAGGGGTGGGTGGGTGGGGGGTGAGCTGAATGGAATCTCTCTCTGAGCAGGCAGCCAGCCAATCAGGCTCTTGCTAATCAGACATGCAGAATAACAAAGCCAAGGGGTCCAGGGAAAGTATAAGAGAGAAAGAAAGAGAGGAAGGAATGAGAGAGAGAGAGAGAGAGAGAGAGATAGAGAGAGAATGGCAAAGCTGAAGGGAGTGCTCTGCCTTTAGTTAACCCTACTCAAAGAGATCTAGTCCTTTACTTGCCACAAGCTCTTGTGGCTGTTGCGATTACAAAAGCGTTCCTTCTAACTGTGCATTGTTCCATTCAGGAGAGAAACAATCTGTGTCAATATGTAACACATGCCATAAAGGGCACAAATCATAAGAGACAAAAATTTGCCAGAGAAAAATAAATTCTACTTAAATAAGGTCCTCCTGTATTCCTTAAGGGAACATGGACTGTGCAAATCTTTTTGCCACTTTGTGGCAAAGGAGCGTATCTCCCCCTCACCTCTTGTCATTCACATATCTATCTATTTTTAACTGGTTTCAGGATTTCCTGCTTTACATGGATGGTGGCTGCAATGTTGTGGTAACCAAGTCAGCTGGTAAAGATGCTGGTCTGTAAAACAAAGAATTAAGAAAAACATTCTCCTCATCACCTAAAGAAAAGCAATTTCAATTATCCACATTCAAAAGGTCCCCAGATACTGACTGAGGGATGTGCTTGCTTAGCTCCTTCAACAGAGGAGTTAGGTAACTACCAGTTTAGAGCTATATTGACCAGTTTCTCACTGACGTCTGTGATGCCTATTATAGGTGCCTGTTAGAGCATAGTATCACCACCTATTAGTAAGGTTGCCACTTCCCGTCATAATACCTTGTTTTCAGTGGCTTATGAAAACTTGCCAAACTTTAACTGTTTAGGCAGAAATTTCCCCTGCTGGGTGTCTGCCTCATGCTGTAGCTTCCTGGAGAATTTCAGCCAGAATGAGTCAGCCATTGCTGAGAACAAGACTAAGGGAAAATAAATTGTTTTGCCCATGTTAAAAACTTCTGGGAAACTTTTCTTTCAGTAGCTCTAGCACCTTCTGGTTTGGAGCAAGGGCCTGAAGTTTGCCACATGGGTGGCCTTTGTGTCTGTGATAGGCCTCTTGCTGTCCTTGCTGCCATCTTATAAGCTTTTTTTTTTTTTTTTTTTTTTAAAAATCACAGGTCACACATGACTTCCCACTTACCTATTGGCTCCCAGCCTCCCCACAGCTGGTCCAGCTCTTGTCCTCTTTGCATTCAAGTGAGGCAATTTTCTCCTCCATGCTGCAGGAGGGCCTCTCCAGTGCTCTCAATGACACTCCTGTGAGTAGGACAAGAGCTGGACCAGCGGGGAGCGGGACTGGCATAAGGAGCCCCCGGGGGAGGATACTGGGACTGGAAGCTGGCAGGAGATGGGGAAGAGACTGGAAGCGACTTGGCAAATTGATAGGGACTGGAAGTCAGGAAGGGAAATGTGAAGAAAGGTGGGGAAGCTAAGATAGGAGGAGGAGCTGTGGAGGTAGAATACAGTCAATGGTAAGAAGACTGGGACTGAGAACTAGAGGGATGTGTGCATGTGTGTGTGAGGGGCTGGGAAGGAGAGAGAGATCTGATGCAGAGCCAGGATGCAGGGGGAAACTGGCTGGGTGAAGAGACTGATACTGGGAGCTGAAGGGTTTGTGGAGAAGATTAGCTGGAGCAGGAGACTGGTACTCGAATGAGGAGTCTAGAGGGGTGAAACTAGGATTTGGGCAAGGAATGAGGGTTTGGGGCTGCTTAGGGTAAGAGAATGGGACTGGGATGAGGACCCAGGGGTGGGACATGGATGGGGAAAGCGCAAATGCAGTAAACCTTGAGGGAGAATGAACCAAATTGAAAGGTTCTAGTCCTGCTGATGAGCCATGTGGGTATCAATATATGGACTTTCTGGTTTTTTTCAGTTTGTTTTTTTTAGGAAGAAGTAAGAAAATACACAAGTTTAAAAACACTATGACAAAAGTACATTAAGGTTGCAAAATCAAGTACTCAAAAGTAAGGAAATGCCAGAATCTAGATGGCTAGCACAACCTTAATTCAGCGATCTTGTGCCACATTACGATAGCAATCATGTAATTAAAGATAGTATCACAATGCATACACAGCAGGGATCTGAATTAAGGTTGTTTGTGCAACCCTCAATTTTGGAATTTCCTAATTTTTTGAGTGCTTGACTTTGGAACCTTAATAATGTTTTAACACATTTTTGGTGTATAATTATAGTATTTTCAAAAGCAGCCTCTTTTTAGTGAGTTAATTTTTGGGCACTCAACTACCAGGAAACATTGTCATCATTAATACACTGGCTTGCAGTAGAATATATGAAGTGATCTCAGTAGGATGCTTCCAGACATGCACAAAATGCTGCTTTTATTTTTCAAAATCAAACTGCTCAATTCCTGACTACCTGAATGGTAGGGGATGTACCAATTAGAGATGGGCATGCCCTTTAAAATTCCAGTTCATATTTCTGACTGAAGCCAAAACACAATAATATATTCACTTGTTTGGTAGCAAACAGTTAATGTGGAAAAGCAGATACTGATACTACACATGCTCATCCCAGATTTACTGACCCTTGAAATGCCTTGTTCAGCTTTGGAAAAGGTAAATTGTTGCATTTTTCAAAGAAGACTCTCAAAAGGCAAATAACATCCTCTAACGCTAGTAAACTGGAGCCTTCACATGCACAATTTATTGTCCCACCATTATTCTGTGCATGGAATTCCCATTGAAGTCAATGGGAATTTTGCACGCAAAATCATGGCAGAAGAAATACATTGGTAGCGGCCAAATGGTGTTGCCTGCTATCCTCAGATGCCTAAAAAATGTGATTTGTCTGAAAAGAGCTCTTTTTTGTTCAAGACTGATATTCAAAACAAGAGCAGAGCTGTCCAAGACTTTCATAATGAAACAGAAAATGGCGCAAAACTCACATGACTTTGGATTTTGTTGCACATTTAAAACTCAGACCAGGTTCAGGAACTTAGGTCCTTTTTTGGTTCCAAGAGAAAGTCATGTAAAACCCAAGGTTTTGACATGAAGCCAGATGAAATGTCACAGTTCTGAGAGTTTGGCTTTGAGTTTGAATGCATTTGAACCAAGAACTCAAAGTGAACCTCAGGGAGTGGAAACTCACATGAATCAACTCCAAAGTAAAGGCCCATGCGAATCTTGCATTGCAAAAACATTAAGTTTCATAGACATTTCAGTCCAATCCTGAATCCATATCACTCAAAAACAAAACTCCCATTAACACTAGTGGAAGCAGGATTGGGCTCCAAGTCACAAGTGAAGGGCATCCACTCACAAGCCCTGAAAATGACCACTTCTGGTATTCATGTTGACCATTAACTACACTCCTTTTTTCCCCCCTTTCAGGTGTTTAAATTAAAGCAGTCTGCATATGTCTGTAAGCAGTGGTGCTGGTTAGCAGCACTACACAGCAATGACAGATTATGTGAAAGGAGAGCAGTAATGAAGGAGGGTGTCAGGACTGTCTGAAGCATCATTCCAAGCTGTACAGATTTCAACAATCCTTAATTTAAAAAACTTTAGCCCAGGAAGGAGAAAGTTAGTCACATCAAATATGCTTTATATCAGGAAAGAGTGAACTAAACTGTGGAGTTGCTCTCCCTGGGGAGAGTATGTTACAGTTTTCACTCAGAAGCCGCCTGTCTCTTCCCGGAGCTGAGCCTCCTTCCCCCCCCCCCCCCCCCATCAGATCTGCAGCAACCAATATTTTTTATTTCATTTTATTTTTCAGTTAGCAGTTATTCTTAGATTGCCTCCTTATAGTCTGGATTGGTTTCTGGGATGTTGGATGCTCACATAACCATGGAAAGTGGGAGGGAGCCAATACTTACGTAACCCTTCTGCCCATCAGAGTTGGCAGCAACAAGGGCCGGGTTCAGTATCTAGGGGTTCCAGTCCAATAACACAATTTGCAAAACCGGCTCGAGCCCCCACCCAGTGACCTGGGACAAATATACACCATCCCCGCTGGGCACCTCTAAGAGGCAATACTTCCCCTCTTGCAAGCAGAGTCTGAGTGTAGCAAAAGCCTTTTAATAACAGAGAGAAACAATGTGGCATTATGTTGGGGAAACACCACCAACAGGATTCATAACACAACCCATGAGCCAAAAGCCACCCCAAGCAAATTGGGCCATGTCCTCTTCCTTTGGTTCACAGCAACCCAAAAGTCACGCAAAGTCCCAAAAGTCCAGCAACCCAAAAGTCTCTGTTCCTGGTCAGTGCAGCCCCAGAGTTCGAAAGTTTATTTGCAGAGTTTTACCTCCTAACATGGGTGGAAATGGGGGAGGTTAAGGGGCACCTTATGTGGTCCGAAGCCGACTGCCCAACCTCTCCGTGGGGCTCCACTCCGCTCCACCAGCCGCCCCACGAATTGCTCTACTCCGCCAGCCATCCTGTGAGCCACTCCAGCCATCCCGCAAACTGCTCCGCTCCGCCAGCCATCCCATGAACTGCTCCGCAATATATCTTCAGGACCCCCCAATACTTAACACAACACTCAGTGATTTCAGCTTGTAGCAGGGGAGCCTCAGGACTGGTACACCATTGGCCCAAAGTGAATTCAGCTCAGCAGCCTGTAACTAGACTCCTAGTGGAATCAAAACTAGTGCTGATATTCCACCGTGGAGAGAGGAGACGATGTAATTAGCATGTAGGGCCCTCACCAGGGCCCATACCACCAGCTATTAATACCTGTCCCTAGTATCACTCTCAATACGCTGGGTTTTGGAACCCTAGCCTAGCGAGTTCTGCTTAGTTGATGGTGAGTCCCGCCATCATAACAAAAGACCAAGTACAATTCCACTATCCTTGATTCACATAATCAGGATAATAACAGTTTATTCTTCCTGCCCCAATAACAGAGAAACTGGGGTTCCTACAGGAAGCCAAAGTGACCATC